ACAGAACAAGGCACAACATGAAATATACAGAATGATCTTAACTATGTTATCATAAAAAGTTATAAAAACTTAATTTTTCTGATTGGACAGTTGATGATCTCAAGGAATTAATTTGTAATGATAGGTATCTTTTTTTAAGTTCCTATCTTCTAGAGATGTATGCTAAAATATATAGGGATAAAATAATAAGATGCCTTAGCATTTGCTTCAAAATAATCTCAGGTGGAGTGGGGTAGGGTAGGGTGGGTTGGAATGGGTGAGGTGTAAATGAAAACATGATTGGCAACAAACTGATAAAGTGTTGAAGCTGCACGATGGTTGGGAAGAAGGGTATCATTACATTATTCTCTTTTTACACTTCATATGCTCTTACATGTGCTTGAAATTCTCCAAAATAAAATGCTTTTTAAAAAAGCCACAAAAAGGAGAAAAAAAAATTAAACAAAGATGTTTACCCAAAAAACTGAGGACTATAATGAATAAAGAGATTCAATTAAAAGTCTGGATTAAAACAATCGGGGCTTCCCTGGTGGCACAGTGGTTAAGAATCCGCCTGCCAATGCAGGGGACGTGGGTTCGAGCCCTGGTCTGGGAAGATCCCACATCTAAGCCCGTGCACCACAACTACTGAGCCTGCATGCTACAACTACTGAAGCCTGTGCACCTAGAGCCCGTGCTCCGCAACAAGAGAAGCCACCACAATGAGAAGTCCGCGCACCACAGTGAAGAGTAACTCCCCCTCGTTGCAACTAGAGAACGCCCGCACACAGCAACAAAGACCCAACACAGCCAAAAATAAATTAATTAATTAAAAACAAAAAAAACAATTGACTACTCTCTCCATATGCTCCAAATTCCTTGAAATGATATTTGTAAAAACAACTGAAGATTTACAACAGGGAAGAAATACAAGATAAAGGAGGATATCAGGAAACCAGTGGTTTTGAGAAACTCCTATAAAATGGTTTTCAAAATGTGGTCCCCCCAGACAAACCTCATCAGCAACGCCTCAAGCTTGTTAGAAATGCAAATTCTCAGGACACATCCCAACTCCCCTTACTCATAACCTTTCGGGGCAGAGCCCTGCAATCTGGTTTTAACAAGCCCTCCAAGTGATTCTGATGAACCAAAGTTTGAGAACCACTGTAAAACTGATCAGGCTGACAAGAAACAAGAGAGGAAGGCCTCAGCCCAAACCAGCCCTAGAGACAGCAATAGGAAAGGTAAAAGCAATTACAGGGATACTCTAAGCTGAGTCCTCAAGTGACAGAAAGCTGGAGGCCTCTAGCTGCAATAGTCAAGTGCTAACCTTGCCCACCCCCAAAACCAAGTGGTTGGTGGGAGTGGGAGACAGTTCTGCCCGGGATTAAACCTCAGATTAAAACCCTTTGTATTTTGGCAAAGAGATGGGAGCGAGGCTCAGACAACAGCCTAGATCTTTTGCCCACTCCCCATCCGTGTATTCTAAAAATTCTGCGGGAACAAGCTCCCTTTTCTCAGTCAAGGTAAACATCTATGGGAGCAAAGAAGGCTTCTACAAATGTGGGAAAAATCCATACCCACTACCAACCCATTAATCAAGTGAATCTCTTTCATATGTAAGAGTGATCTTTTAAGGACAACAAATAGTGATAAAGATAATTAGTAAACTGAACAAACAGAGCAACTGACAATCAATGGGGAAAACAAATAATTCAAGGCATAGAAAATAACATGAAAATTCTAATTGATATCTTTAGAAATGTAAGGGTACTACACCTTTGAAAAAAGCAATTAGAACACGAAAGCAATCTTGACTATTTAAAAACAAATTACTAAACTTAAAAACTAAACAGAAAAGCTAAATGATGTAATGGACATGCTTGAAGAGGGAATTAGTGATCTGGAGGATAATATTTGAAGAAATCTTTCAGAATAGAGCAAAAAGACCAAGACAAATTATATAAATCCAGTGACAGGATCAAGTCAGGAGGTCCCATATTCACTTGATAAGAAGTCTAGAAAAAAAAAAGACAAAATGGAAAGAAAATAAAGAAATCATTTTAGAAATTGCCCTTAGTCTAAGAATGGTACAATTCTTCAGAGTGAAAGGACCATTAGATAAGCAGAACGAATGACATATATTATATCCCACATACCTGGGTGCATTACTGGTGAAATTTTAGGACTCCAAGCATAAAAAGAAAACCCTGAAAGTTTTTCATGAGGGGGAAAAATAAGTTTTTACCAATAAATAAAGAGAGAGAATCAGATTGGTGTCTGACTTTTAAGAAGCAATACTGGATGCTAGCAATCATGGTATAGCTTCAAAATTCTGAAGGGAAATGATTTTGAAACTAACACCCTAAACTTTTTTTTAAATTGAAATGAGGATTCAACATTTAATTACTTGATGATATGCTGCAGTAAACCCAAAAACTAACCCTGGGATGAAAGAAAAAGCAGTGAGAAGGAAACAGTGAAACTTATAGCTGTCTAAATAATGATGCATAATATCAAGACACAAACACACACACAGACCAAGATAACAGAGATTAATCTAAAACAAATCTCACACGATTACACCAGGAGAAGAGGTCCAGGTGGGGAAGTGACAGAATGCTAAGGTAACTGACTTAATTGCGAGATGGGTGAAAACTATGGCTACCGATTAACTGTAAATATAGAGAAAAGAGGTAACCCTTAAAGGAACAACAACAGGTTAAATTATTTCCAAAGCACTAAGAGGAAAAACAAGGAGAAAAGAAACAACAATCAATCAAGCCAATAAAATGGTAAAATAAAAACAAGCACGATATTCAGAAAATACAAACTACGATGGTAGGAATAGTCCAAACATTTCAACAATTTCAATTAACATGAATGGATTAAACTTCCCAGAGACTCTTAGATTGAACTTCCTAAAGCTGTTTTGACTACATTAATTGGGGAAAATAGGAGCCAATGCAGAAAGTATTAAGGACAAAAGAGAATATCTCAGTTATAAAAGGCACAGCTCACCAACAGTCACATAATGCTTTCACATCTCAGAAATCAATTCATTAAATGGACAATAAGAATGTAGAAGGTCTGACAATTAACCAGTTAAATCCAAAAAAGAACAGGCAAGTCACCCCTCCCCCCCATAACTCATAGAATATTTACAGATATTGACTATGCATTCCATAAAGTAGAAACCATACAAGTTACACTCTATCTGCTTGGAAATTTTAAACACATTAAATAATTCCTGGTTTAAATATAAAGGCCACTGAATCTGAAATTACCCACTAGAAATAAACAACAGTCACCACAGCTTAAGACTGTCAGACACAGCCAACGCAGTACTCAGAGGAGCATTTTCAGTTTTAAGTACATCTATTAGGAAACAAGAAAGATTGAAAATAAAACATTGCACAATATACCTTAAAGCAGTGATTGTCAGCACCCCTGGAGATAGAGTGGTTCTCTGAAAGTAGCCTAGGAGTCTGTGAATTCCTTTATATATTTTAAAGCCTATGGAATTTGCATGCTAACCTGTGATAAAACTGCAGACCAGTCAAAATTTGAATATTAAGTCAGTTTGTAACATTGGTTACTTCATCCATCCTGATGAGACGAACTGGGTTAAGAGTAACATCTTTGAATAATGCAAGGCCTTATTCATTTTTCTATCTTTAATCCATTGAAGTAGTATAAGAACTGAATTAATTAATGAACTGGACAGGTAATTTTCCAAAATATGGGGCTCACTGGAGGAACAGAGTAAAGCAGAATAAAAAGGTCTGTATGGTGGTTACCAGGTTGGGAAACACTGACTTCAGTATGAATCTTAATCTCAGGTCTGTGATGTCACGGTGTTTCGTGCCTGGTGTTCCAGGATTTGGGATGGCATCTTACAGATGCAGAGGAACAAGAGGGCAGAGACCTGCTTACCAGCTTTCTTGCCTTATTTCTTGAAGGCAAGATTCATGGATTTCAATAATAACAATGTCAGATAAAGTTAATTTGCCAACTACAACAAGAGACTAATTTATAAAAATCCAGTTCCTTTCGCTGTACGTCAAAAGAGTAGAGCTCTAGCACTAGCTAGCACAAATGACTAGAACATAAGAGCAGAACCAAAGATAAAAAGATCTTAGCAGCTATTTATTTAAAACATTTTTAGGGCTTCCCTGGTGGCACAGTGATTGAGAGTCCGCCTGCCGATGCAGGGGACACGGGTTCGTGCCCCGGTCCGGGAGGATCCCACATGCCGCGGAGCGGCTGGGCCCGTGAGCCATGGCCGCTGTGCCTGCACGTCCGGAGCCTGTGCTCCGCAACAGGAGAGGCCACGACAGTGAGAGAGGCCCGCGTACCACAAAAAAATAAAAAAAAATAAAAAAAACATTTTTAGAAGGTTCAATTACTATCTTTACAGGACAAATTTTAATTATTTAAAACTCAGGTACCATGATTTCACAAACTACTGTTTATGCTATAAGAAACTAATTGAACCTCATCAAGTACTATACTTTACATACTTTTTCAAAGGAAAAGTTTTTTAAAAGGTCCAATTCTGAACCATACCAAAAAGAAGCACTTCAACTGAATTGAAACACACACAGAGGCCAGATCTGTAATGTTTCAAATGATCAATATTTGTGCTACTTAAATGCCAATAGGTGAATTTCAACATGTCCTTTGAAATAAACAGTGAAAATTAAAATTGCAAGACCTTCTCATTGTATTAATTTGCTCTTTTTGTTTATTTCTAAAACATCCCCCTTTGCTGAAGTTAAAGAATGACTCTTCCTCTCCCGTATTAAAAACAAAATGACTGTATTTCTCTCCCCAACCTATAGCTCTGCTCAGCTGAATTAAAATTTTTTTTAATTTTTTTCTTTACCCCTAAACCAGTACCTTCAATTCTTAACTGGCCCAAGGGCAGACTTCCTTACATGACAGCAATAAACACAAATAAAAAGTAGAATTCTGCCAGCAAATATTATGCATGATCCCAACAATACAGACACAGTCTTAAAAATCAGTTATGTATTTATTTGTATAGAGTCAAAGGAAAGACTTGAAAATCCTACATAATAGCCCATGAGGCTTACAATTTAATTACTAATCCAGTTTAAAAAAAAGAAAAGGTTTTCCTCCACAAACTTGAAGATGTTACTATTTTACACGCTTCAGATATGTGTACTAAAACACCGGACACCTATTCATCTTTAGTTTTTGCAGAAGTAGTATTAAGTCCAAAAAAGTCTTTTTTAATGATGTACCGAACACACTGCAAAATCACATTTCTTTCATGTCGAATGTCTGGAGCTAAAAGCTAAAAAATGATAAATAAAAAGATTAGCTGGTAAATAAAATATATCCAAGAAACACCATCTAAAATAGCATGTGTGCCTTCTCTATATAAAGAACACAGAACAATAAAGATGTGTATTATATTTACTAATTATTTTCCTAAAACACAATGCAAGAATATTTCCTTTTAACCAAAACTATCTAGCTTAAGCACAAATGTTCACATTTGAGATCCTCTCTAGGACTATCAAGCAAAGGACAGGAAAAATAGGTTTAAAAGTCTACAATTCTTTAAATCTAAAAATCATGTCAAACAGGATCCTCCTAAACCCAAATCTATAAACAGTACAGAAAGTGGTAAGGAGATATGGTAAATATAGTAATAATGAAACTAGCAGTAAAAAATCCTAACACTGCTGGTCTTTCAGAACTTCCCATTTTTGTGTTTACTGTAATTGAAAGAGAGCTGAAAATCCCTGGTATCTAGAATACATAACCAAGGAATTATATGTGATTCGCCAAAAAGATTTAATGTAACTACTCATTTTACTTCTGATGTCATTAATTAGTTCAGAAACACCCACACAGGACCTTTCAGTAGAAAGATGATTTAATATACCACTTATGAGGTAAACATTAAAAAAATGCAATTTACTTTATATAGCATCAAAATTTACAAAACAGAGGACATTTCAGATCAATTTTTATTAAGAAGCAACTGTGTCTACATGTATTACAACATGTCATAGAGTGTAGTCACAGAACACTTCAGCTCCAGCAGAAGCATACATCTGACCAGGCAAAATCAGACTTCGCACAGAATGCCAATAGATAGTTTTACAACTCCACTGAAAATTTCAGAGTATTTCTATCACTCTTAGAAATGAAAGTTTTGGATCTTTGAACAGCTTCGTGTCCATCACTTAGAATCAAAAGAGGCATTGCTTCTTTACAATTTGAAGAAAGATCATAAATTTTTGAGCACATCATGCTGAGAATAAAGCCAATAATGCACAGAATAAACATAAAACCCTTTCTCTCCCTTCAGCCTGCACTGTATTTAGCTGTGCTCTCAATAGGAAAACTTTATAAAGGTCAGTACACTTCAATACCTATTTCTTTACCAACCACTTAAACCTAGATTCCTCTATTTTAAGCAGTTTTGAAAATTGTAATTATTCTACATTTACCAAATATCAGCTATATTTCAAATGCAGCTTCAGAATTAAGATACATAGATAACTCTTCAAGGAGCATATGTCTCTGGAAACCTTAAAATACACACACACAAGCCCAGGAGCTCTATCTTCAAGACACAAGAAGAACACAAAGATCAGAACATAAAGAAAAATCACTTACCATTTCCAGGAGATATGGATGGTGTGTTCTTGGTTCAAATAATGTCTGATAATTGCGATAATTTTTTTTCCTCTTAGGATTTGTGTTTTTGAAACTTTTCTTTTGGCTCTCATACTTGGCTTCTGAGAAATTTCTAACAGTTGCTTTAACATCTTGACTTGGTTTCTTAGGAGTACTGCTATGAAGAACCTGGTCTTCTGCCAGAACGTCTGCTTCAGTCTTGATGGGAGCTTCTAATGTGATGAAAAATAAACACAAAAATAAAAAACAAATTAAAAAACAGGGAAAACTTACAAAGATAACAAAAAAAAACACCCCATAATATTCCCCTTCCCCAGCCATAATACTGGCTACTTATTAGTTAAAACTGAGCATGTACAATGTATTATACAAAATTTTTCAAATTGTGAGCTATGACTGCCAATAATTGAGATTACCACAAAGAACTACAGAAAATGATCCCTATGAAAGAAATAATACCAGATGGAAACTTGGATCTACACAAAGGAATGAAGAGTGCCAGAAAGTCAATATGTGGATAAATACAAAAGACCTTTTTTCTCATTTGAAAAAAATTTTAAAGAGAATTGACTATTTAAAGCAAAAATAATAATAACAATGTATGTAGGGTTTATAACATCTATAGAATTAAAATCTAAGATAACAATAGCACAAAGGAAGGGAAGAGGAAAATCTAAGTATATTGCTGTAAGATTCTTGAATTACAGGAATACTTCACTTTACTGTGCTTCGATTTAATGCTCTTCACAGATAGAGCGTTCTGTACAAATTTCAGGTTTGTGGCAACATTGAGCAAGTCTATCAGCACCATTTTTTTAACATCAATTGCTCACTTCATGTCTCTCTGTCACATTTTGGTGATTCAATATTTCAAACTTCATGTCTCTCTGTCACATTGTGGTGATTCAATACTTCAAACTTTCACTGTTATTAAATTTGTTATAGTCATCTGTAATCAGTGATCTTTGATGTTACTATTGTAATTGTTTTGGGTCACCACAAACCATGCCCATAAAAGACAATAAACTTAATTCATAAATATGTATGTTCTGACTGCTTTACCTACCTGCCATTCTCTCATCTCTCTCCTTCTCCGCAGGCCTCCCTATTCCCTGAGACACGATACTGAAATTATGCCAGTTAATAACCGTGCTACAATGGCCTCTGAGTGTTCAAGTGAAAGGAAGTGTCTCGCGTTTTTCACTTTAAGTCAAAAGCTGAGACAGGCCAGAAGCTAGGCCTCTTGTACCAGTTAGCCAAGTTGTGAAAGCAAAGGAAAAGTTTTTGAAGGAAATTAAAAGTGTTACTCCAGTGAACACACAAATGATAAGGAAGGGAAACAGCCTTACTGCTGATATGCAGAAAGCTGTAGTGGTCTGGACAGAAGATCAAACCAGCCACAACATTCCCTTAAGGCAAAGGCCTATAATCCAGAGCAAGGCCCTAACTCTCTTCAATTCTATGAAGGCTGAGAGAAGTGCGGAAGCTGCAGAAGAAAGGTCTGAAACTAACAAGATTTAAAAGAAGCCGTCATCATGACATAAAAGTGCGAGGTGAAGCAGCAAGTGCTGATGTAAAGCTGCAGCAAATTATCCAGAAGACCTAGCTAAGACAATTAACAAAGGTGACTACACTAAACAACAGAGTTTCTATGTAGACGAAACAGCCTTGTATTGGAAGAAGATGCCATCTGGAATTTTCATAGCTAGAGAGGAGAAGACAATGCTTGCCTTTAAAGCTTCAAAGGACAAACTGACTCTCTTGTAAGGGGCTAATGCAGCTGGTGACTTAAAGTTGAAGCCAATGCTCCTTTACCATTCTGAATATCCTAGGGTCCTTAAGAATTACGCTAAATCTACTCTGCCTGTGCTCTATAAATGCAACAACGAAGCCTGGATGACACAGCACATGTTTATGACATGGTTTACCGACTATATCAAGCCTATTGATGAGACCTACTGCTCAGAAAGGGATTCCTTTCAAAATATGACTGCTCACTCCTGGTCACCTAGGAGCTCTGATGGAGACGTACCAGGAGATTCATGTTGTTTTCATGCCTGCTAACACAACACACAGTCTTGTCAAGTTCACATAAACATGTTTTGGGGTATATATGTGTTGGGGTATAAAACGAATCTCAATAAATTGAAAAACTGAAAGCATACAGAATATGTTCTCTGACCATAACAGAAGTAAATAAAATCAGTAACAGAAAACTATCTTTAAAAACCCTCCAAAAAATTGGAGCTGAACAACAGACTTCTAAATAACCAGAGTTAAAGGACATATCACGAGAGAAATTAAAAAATATTTTGATATAAATAAAAATGAAAACAAAATGTGTCAAATTTGCAGGATGCAGCTAAAGCAATGCATGGAGGCAAATGTATAGCTCTGAATGCTTACATTAGAAATGAAAAAAATTTAAAATCACTTATCTAAGTTTCTACTGTAACGAGGTAGAAAGTGAGGAGGAAAGAAAGAGTGAAAGTGTGAAAATCAATTAGAAATAGACAACAGAAAAAAATCAACAAAGCCAGAAGGCAGTTCCTTGAAAAGATTTATAAAATTAATAAACACCTAGCAAGATGATCTGATCAAGAAAAAAGGGGGAAAAAAAACCCCAATTAATAGTATAAGGAATCAAAGAAGGAACATCACTATAAATCCTACATATAGCACAAGAAAATATCACAAACAACTTTATGCCAATAAACTTGACAATTGGTCAAATTGAAACAAATTCTTTTGAAAAATATAAATTACCAAAATTGGCTCAAGGAAAAAGTAGAAAATCTGAATAGTGCTATACCTATTAAGGAAATTTGATTAATTTAGAATCTTCCCCCAGAGAAAATGCCAGGTACAGATGGCTTCACTACTGAATCCTACAAACAAGAAAAAATTGCTGCAATTCTACACAAACCCTTAAAAGAGGAGGAGGAAACAGATCCCAACTCATCCCAAATCCAGACAAAGCCTATAAGAGAAGAAAAACACAGACTAATATTCCTCAAGAACACAGATGCAAAAATCCTTAATAAAATATTGGCAAATCAAATCCAGTAATGTATTAAACAGGTAATACACCAATTCCGAGTAGACTTTATCCCAGGAATACAGGGTTGGTTTGACATTTGAAAATCAATCGGTGTATTTCACCATACTGAGAAAAAAAACAACCACCACCATATAATCAGTTGAAAATTCACAAGTATTAAGATAGGAATTCCCTCCTCTCAGCCCCAAATGGTTTTTCTATATTTTTGATTACCATGAATTATAGGCTAATGTGATATAAATAGTTCTATCCTAGACGTCGGGAACTGAGTTCAATTGCCTGGACAAGAGTGTAACAGGCTAATCATATGCCTCAAAACCCTCAATATTCAAGCATTACATAGGACTGAATGTGGAAATTACATTTGAAAGGAAGTACAGGGTAAGTGTCAGAAGCACAGACTCTGTTACAAACTGTTAGGTTCAAATTCTAGATCCAAGACTTCCTAGCTGTGTGACCTTGGAGCAGCTACTTATCTCTGCCTAAATTTCCTCATAAGTAATGGCACCTACTTCATGAGGTTACTGCAATAATTAAATGAGTAAAGCACATTAAACAGTGCCCGAAACAGAGTAAGCACTATATAAGAATTTGCCCTGATAGTGATTTTAATGTGCCTTCAAACTAATGGGGAAAAGAGGAAAAGAAGAGAAATATAACCATAAAACAACGGAGCTAAGAATTCACAAGTGGTTTGCAGAGTTCAAAACTATGGGAATAATAATTAAAGGCAAAAAAGAAAAACTAGGGCACTATTTTCTCTTATGTCCCTCAATCATAGCCAAACCTGTTTGAAGAAACATAGCAATTTTGGGGAGTTGCAAAACTGTGCTTAACTTCTCATATGGCACAAACAAAAACAAAATCTAACATGCAAGACCCAGGACAGATAAAACGTTTGGAAATACTGCTCACTGAAATTTTCTTTCCTATCTATATCTTAATGATTCTGAAAGCCCCAGAACCAAGTATATAGCCTCTTCTTTTGCTCAGTCTTTCTGGAAGGACCCTTTCCTTGTTTAAAATTCATTCTGGAAAAGCACTATTCATGTTTAAGATCCTCTACACACTTCTATGTTAATTCCTAAGTTAAGACAGGTCTTAAATATGAAAATACGGTCATTAAAATCTGTGAGAATCAGACTGCTTCTCTCCATTTAGAACCCACTTAAATAAGAAGCCTTCTAGACGTTATTTCATGGTTCAGAGAAGGCTCACTTTATTTCCTTGGTTTATTTACTCTGAAGTCCCTCTGTGTCAATATCCTATCCTATCCTATAGCCCAGAATTAACACTGAAAGCTAGAAATTTGCTAGTGACCTGGATGGCTTAATAAAGCTGAATTCAAATTACATAAAATAATTCTTAAGGCTTAGGAATGTGAAGCAAGGACTTTTTCCTTAAGGCAGGACATTTTAAATAATTAGTCAAAATGAATTCATACAAAATCAAATATATCTTTTAACAGAGAACATCTTCTGTTATGTACTAGAAAAGAAAAGCTATGCATTACTGTGCAGGAAGATAGCAAATGCCACACAAAGAAAGACTGTAATGGAAGGCAATACAGTTGGCTTCTTTAGACATTTAAGTCCCTAAACCTAAGCTTTACATCAGCTTTGCCATATACTAGCTTTGCAAACCTACCCTCTCGAAGCTTAAGGGTCTATAAAATGGAGGGTTGAAACCTCAAAGATCCCTTCCAGTTTCCTTTCTTCCTTCTAATTTAAAAAATAGTGGCAGCCTCAAAATGAAGACATGAGTATAAAATGTTTTATCTTAGGAATGAGAGAAGAAAGCATTAGTACAGCTTGTTTTTATGGGGTTCAGTAATCTGGTAATAGCTTTCTTTGCTATCACCTGTCATAAATACAGATGATAAGCAGGAAATGTAATACGTGTTTAAAGAATAACTTCATCTTCGTATCAGTATAATGGAAACAAGAGTAAAGAAATAAATACTGTTTTTCTTAAGATTAAAAAAAAAAAATAAGAAGAGGCAACCATCTGCTAAGGAATACTCTGATAAAGCCAAAGTAGTTTATGTTTCAAAATTCAACTAGCTACCATAGTAAAAGGAAAAAAGGAAAAAAAATTCCTGTTATAGATAGATCTAAACCTTAACTTTCGTATTAAAGCCCAACTCTTCCTTCAACATCTCAACTACACAAACATTGATTTTCTCTAGCCTAGCCAACATTAAAAGTCCTGCCATCTTCATCCAATTACATCCAATTACATTCAAACCTTCCCTTCATCCTACATATTCACTTTTAAGACCCTCTATTCTTGAGTACAGCCCCTACTGTGATTACATATCTGAGACACACACTCATGAATTCTCTCATGGTTGGTTGGTGAAGCCTAGATAAAATAACCATGCAGAGCCAGGTACACAGGCACAATAGGACACATGCTTATTCACTAAACAAATGCTGGATTACTGATATGAACCTTGGGTTAAGAACTGCCATACTGCCAAGCCTACTTGCAGCTCTTTTAGGTGGCCCTAAAAGAGACGCTAGTGATTGAGCTGGTTTATTATCATCTTTAAAGGTTAAGACATGTATCCTGAACAACGTTAACTTCTCAGAAAGACTATCTAAAGGGTTCCCTGTCTCTCAACCTTTAAAGTACATACACAGGCGAATGCAACGCAAGTACAGGGTTACTGTGTTCTCCAAATGAGATAATTTAGGTAAATGAGCTCTATAAAGAGCAATGCCCCATATACATGTAAGGAATGTTATTATCCTCTTTGTCACAAAGGACCTCGCTCCACCTGCTAAAGGTGCAAAACATGTTAAGACAAGGGTTCTTGAGAGTAGAGAGAAGTAATTAACCTTCTTCACTATATCTTTTAGAATATTCTTTGATTTCACTATGGATATTATCTCTTCCCCTTCCTATTCTTTTATTATTGTTTGCCCTTTTCTCCTAGGGGAGCAATACATTTCCACATTTCTCCCACTTCATTTCATCCCATGTTAACTTCTGAATCAAATGAAGAAGGAACTTGAGGATCAAAGAATGTGCATGACACATCTTGTCCTCAGATACATACACACGAAAGGATGCTACTGATGCGTAGTGTACATCAAAGGCAAAAAGCAACGAAACAAACCTAACTGTAACAACTGAGGCCATAACTTACCTTCCGGCTCACTCTCCGACCCCGAGAGGCTGCCATAGCTGCTCATTAGGGAGCACAGGGCTGGTGTCACTTCCTTAGGTATGACAGCACTTTGTGGTTTCTCCTCTTTATCGGACTCTGGAATAGAAAGACCTAAGAGTAAAACTGTATACCAAAAATATCTACAACCATAAGAAGGAAAGCTGACAGCCCCCCACTCCCTCATGTGTTAGTGAAAAGAAAGTAATTTCTGATCATTTCCTCAATCTTCCCAAAAATGAAATCCAGGAGACTCGAAAAATTTCCCCTTGGTTTAAATCTTTATGGTCAGATAAGCTATCTACCCCAAAGAGAAAACAGAGGGGCAAATGGAAGCTATACACGACTCAGTTTCTTACCATGCTTCACAGGTTATGGAACTTGGGCCTTCTCTAAATTAACCAGACAGTCTTTGTTATTATTTTATTTTATTTAGGCTATTAATTAATTTTATTAAGGTAGCAGGAAGGCCATAAACTTATTTGACTTCACTGGATTAGGATCACAGACTCTGAAAATTAGATTTATAATAAATAAAATATAAAATATCCACTCTTTGTTGTTTTTAAGACTGGGTCAGAGGGCACATATAACATTTCAACCATTCTATAGCTGAAGGCACAAAGAGTTCCGCTGAACTGAATCTGCCCAAAATTTTTATTATTTAGAACTTCTAAGAACTTAAGTAAACAAGCCAACTATGAGAATTACCAAGTACTAAGAGCCTGCCAAAGGTAAAGTGTTTGATCAGAGCCCAGTAAGCCTAGCTATAGCCCCCGGACACAACCTATTACATTTATTTTTGGCAGCTCTCAAAATGTATTACATCTATTCTAAACAAGTCAGTAATGCCTGACTGAAGAATGAAGACAGTAAGTAACCTGTCTGTGTAGTGAACCAACTCAACCCACAACCAATATGAAATGTTTCAAGACAGTACTTAACGTTTACCAAGTTAGTCTAAGGGAAACCAAAACATGCCAGTAGGAAACAGGAGGAAACTTTTATGTGAGTATGGAATTACCACCTTCTGGTGGATGAAGTTAAATCCTCTCTCCTCCCCCAATCCACACTGCCCAGCAGCAGCCCCTCCAAACACTGCTCCTTGTCGATTTTTAGCTAACTTATTACCTTTTCTCCTGAATTAATAAAGGGAAAGGAAAATATGCAGTTATATATATATATATATATATATATATATATAAAAATAAGTTACTAGTGGATAAAACAGAATCTGCAACAATATTAGTACAGACACTGGTCATCTCATTGTTTGAATGATGACGTACCAAAGTGTAGTGTTTCCTTCTAAGACCCAAAGAGAGGCACCAAAAAGTACAATACAGTTGACTATATAATGCTCTTTAAAAGCATGAGCTCATTTAATCCCTATGAAGTATCACCTTCACTATTTTTTTTTTTTTTTTGGTTGCATTGGGTCTTTGTTGCTGCACGTGAGCTTTCTTTAGTTGTGGCGAGCTGGGGCTACTCTTTGTTGCAGTGCGTGGGCTTCTCATCACGGTGGCTTCTCTTGTTGCAGAGCATGGGCTCTCGGAGCGTGAGCTTCAGTAGTTGTGGCTTGTAGGCTCCAGAGCGTAGGCTCAGTAGTTGTGGCGCACGGGCTTAGTCGCTCCGCGGCATGTGGGATCTTCCCGGACCAGGGCTCGAACCCGTGTCCCCTGCCTTGGCAGGCATATTTTTAACCAGTACGCCACCAGGGAAGCCCTGCCTTCATTATTAATTACAGGTGATGAAACCAAAATTCAGAGAATCTGAACTGGATGATCCTTTAGGTAACAAATCTATAGAACACATGGGTCAAATTTAAATTCTAGCTATCTGATTCCAAATCCCACTTCTTAACTAGTGGGCTAGAGTATCTCCTATAGATATATAAAGTCCTCTTCTTAAAATTAAGTCATCCTACCAAAATGTCTCTCTGGTCTAGAATGTTAATAAATGTCTTCCAGCTATAGCCCATTTCTCTGTTCCCTTTCAGAGCAAAACCCCAAATAACTATTTATATAATTCACCAGGGAACACCTGGGCCTGAAATTTCCTACAGCTATCTGACACGCTCCAGAATCTACTCCAATCTGCCTTTCAGGCTCACCACACCAGTGAACCTTTTTCTTCCAAGTTCACTGGATTCCTCTGTGTTGCCAAAGAGGAATACTTGTTGGTGCTCATCTTATTTAACTTAGTGATGACATCTGACAGTCCAAGTGACCCTTGAACAACACGGGCTTGAAGTTCATGGGTCCACTTATGCACAGATATCTTTCGATAGTAAATATTATTGAAACTGATCTGCAGTTGGTTGAATCCGTGGATTCGCAACTGTGGATACAGAAGAACTGCATTACATGGAAGGCAGACTACAGGTTACACTTGAATTTTCGACCACGTGGAGGGCTGGTGCCCCTAACCTCCCAAATTGTTCAAGGGCCAACTGTAGTCATGTTTTACTTTTAAAAACATTTCCTTCACTTGGCTTCCAGAACCCTTTCACTTGGCTCTCCTTTCCCAGTCTCCCTACTAAATTCTCTTCATTGACCAACTTCAAAATTCTTGAACGTCCCTGGGTCCGATCCTCAGCAACCTTTCTCTTTATGCCTCCTCCTCCTCTTATGATCTCATTTTATCTCAAAGTACTATCTAGATCCTGGTAAATCACAAATGTATACCTCCAGCCTTCAATTATCCCCTAAACTCCAGAATAACCTAACTGCTATTCAACATCTCTACTTGGGTATCAAACAGGCACCTCAAAGGTTAACATGTCCAAAAACAAGCACTTGATTTCTCCTCCAAACATGCCTGCCAGTAGTCTCCGTCTCGGCAAACGCCAGCTCTTCTTCATGGTTACGCCAAAACCTAGCAATCACCCTTGACTCTTCTCTTTTTCACATACCATATCCAATCTAGCCACAAATACGGTCAGCTCTATTTTGAAGATATATCCAGAATCATACTCCTCCTCATTACTTCACTTCTATAACCCCAGTCCCAGTCAACATTTCTTACCTGGACAGTTCTAGCAGCCTCCTAAAAGGACACCCTGATATGACCCGCCCACCTCTGCAGTCCATTCTCCACCTTAACACATCACATCACCTCTCTGCTCAGCCTCGGAGTAAAGTCCCAAGTCCTTTGCTGCCTACAAGACCCTACTTGATCTGATCCTTCACCACTTTCTTCCTGGCTTACTCCACTCCAATCTTGCTGTTCCCTGAATACACAAAGCATGCTCTCACCATGGGGTGTTCGCACTTGTTGCTTTCTCTGCTTGGAAAACTCTCCCCTCAGGTCTCAGCCCCTAATTTTACTCAGATTTCTTAATGTCGCCTTATCATACAGGTGCCATTGCTGATTATATAAAATAGCACACCCCTTTCTCCAATTGCCATTCTCCATCCTTTTCCTTAGCTTTACTCATCGTTATGAAGGATATCAACCCCTACTTACTGCAGCTGCCCCAAGCAGAACATAAGGTACAGGAGAGAAGGGGTTTGGCTTTGTTCAGTACTGTATCCTCAGAGCCTAGAACAGTACATAAGTGCTCAAGAAATATTTGAAGAACAAACTTGCATGAATGAGTTAAGGACAAGTTCAAAAAGGCTAACTGATACAGAATGACAGAGCTATGCCGAGGTGGTACCACAAAAGAAACCTGATTTTGTCTGGATTCAGAGCTTATTCTTTTTTCTTTTCAATAAAATGATTCCATTTTTCTTAAAAAATCACATACATGTGTATAAGAAAAATACTGATGGATATAAAACAAAACGTGAGCAGTGGCTGTCTGTAAGTTAAGAAAGTAGGTTGTTTTTTATTTTATGCTTTTCAGTTTTTTCCTCACATTTTCTGCATTATTTTTGTAATCAGAAATGAATAGAAGAAGAAAACATAGGAAAATAAAACCTGGAAGAAAGTGTTTCCTCACAATTCAATTCAAGAAGTGGACCACACAGCTTTAACTGGCCTACATATCACCCCTTTCCTGCCTCCCTTTTTTTCTAAACTTTATATTTTGAAACAATTTTAGATTTACACAAATGTTGCAAAGATAGTACCAAGAATTTCCATATACCCTTCACCTAGCTTCCCCTAATATTAACATCTTACAAACCACAGTACATTTACCATAGCTAACAAATTAACATTGGAATAGTACTACTACCTAAACTACAGACTGTAATGTAATTTCATCAGTTTTTCCACTAATGTCCTTCTTCTGTTCTAGGATTCAATCCACCATATCACATCACGTTCAATCACCATGACACCTTGATCTGTGTCTTCTCCAAACCTGTGACAATTTCTCAGTATTTCCTTGCCTTTCATGAACTTGACTGTTTTGAAGACTACAGGTCAGTTATTGTAGAATACCCCTCAGCTGGGTCTGTCCGATGTTTTCTAATGATTAGACTGAGGTTGTGGATTTTAGGCAGTGACCTTCTCATCATATATCAGGGGGTACATCTCAACCTATTACTGGTGATATTAACCATGATCACTCGGTAGTCTCCACCACGTTACTATTCTGCTCTTTAATTATTCTATTCCTAGAAACAAGTCACTAGGTCCAGCCCACATTCAAGGGGAGGGAAATTAATCTCCACCTCTTGAAGCAAAGAATTTTAGACATACATTAAAACCACAGCATGAGTACTTGGTGTACTCATTACGAGGAGCGTCACAAAGCTCACTACACTTAACTGCCTTCCCAAGTGTAAGAGCTAGGAGTTCATACAAATGAACACCTCTTTTCCTATTTCGTCCCCCTCAGCTATGTTTTGGGGACCCACCACATGTAATGACCCTTTTGGCACTATCAAAACATCCTCTATGGCGACTCTTCATCTCAAAAACAGAAGGCTGTTCACACAGACGCTCAGATCTACTTGGCAGTTCTAATGTAGGCATTTCTAGCAGCCATCTTGGAATGACTATACCATAGGCAGAGCTGATAAAATAATACTCAAGAAACTTCACCCACATTTTAATAAAAGCAGCCAAAACATCTGTCTAAACTAAAAATACCAGTATATGTACAGCAACATGGATGGACCTAGAGATTGTCATACTGAGTGAAGTAAGTCAGACAGAGAAAGACAAATATCATATGGTATCGCTTATATGTGGAATTTTTAAAGAGTACAAATGAGCTTATTTACAAAACAGAAATAGAGTTTCAGATGTAGAAAACAAACTTATGGTTACAGGGGGGTAAAGGGGGGAGGGATAAATTGGGAGATTGGGATTGACATATGCACACTACTATATATAAAATAGATAACTAATAAGGACCTACTGTATAGCACAGGGAAGCCTACTCAATACTCTGTAATGATCCATATGGGAAAAGAATCTAAAAAAGAGTGGATGTATGTATATGTATAACTGATTCACTTTGCTGTCTACTTGAAACTAACACAACACTGTAAGTCAACTATATTCCAATAAAAATTAAAAAAAAAACAGAAACCATAAAAAATAAAATAACGAAAAAGATCCCTGAGTAATATTTTAAGGTCTTATACAATTTAATATTAACGTGTGTTAAAAATTTTGATGGGCCTAATTTAGGATAATGTTTCTATAATTGAATAAAAATTAAGAAAAAATTTTAAAACTTAAAATAATAAAAACACCAGTACAAAAATAATAGCAATGAAGATTATAAAATCAAACTTTAAAAGCATTATAAATACCAACTCCAATAGTTTCTTTTACTGTTAAAAAAAGAAAATAGTGACACTTTTCTTAGGGGAAATCTCCTCTCTCTCTCATACATACACATCATGTTCCCAATGACCAAAAAAAAATTTTTTAATCTAAAAATTATCACTAGACTATGAGTTTCTTGAAGGCAGGGAAAGACTTCACTGAATTATAGGGCTGGGCAAGCAAAATGTAGGACCTCAGTAAATCCCTATTGAAATGAAAATAACAAAAAACAAACTGCCCTTTGAATGTCTTACCCAACTCTAAACATTAGAAAAAGCTTCTCATCTGGCTTCTTTCTACAACTTATTTCTCTATTTGTGCCACCCTCCTCTCCCCCCACTATTTCCTATTGCCTTTATGGAACAAAGCACAATTATATGCTGTAACCCCAAGAAGATTTATAAATTCTCACAAAGAAAAAGCTATATATTGAAAAAGTCACTCTAAAAAAATGGGAACTTTGGTTTATAGTTTCCAAACCTCAAAACCAGGTATTTAACAATGGGCATTCATGATTTCTGATGTGCTAGGCCAGCTTACTTTCTTACTTGAATGTCTACCTTTTTAACAACAGAAGCCATCTAGCTTACCTCGATGCATAGTTATTAGACTGATGTCCCAGTGTTCTATGACAATAGCTATATTTGTTATAATGAATGACTAACAAACTGGATCCTTCCTGTTTTGTGGACACTGAGGCACTTTAGTCAGTGATGCTCAGGACACATTACTGACCAGCTCCTTTCCTTCTAGCCCAGACAATACTTGTTAAAACCACGGGCCAGGAAAGCCACAGAACATGCTGTATTTAAACAAGAGCAGAGCACCACCAAGGAAATCTAGTGACAACAGGCCATACTCAAAACTCATAAGCTGAGAGACTCCAAATGACAGGCTTTCCTTCTGAAACAATGTCAATTCCCAATTTAAAGCATCTGCACAGGGACTTCCCTGGTGGCACAGTGGTTAAGAGGCCACCTGCCAATGCAAGGGACATGGGTTCAATCCCTGGTCCGGGAGGATCCCACATGCCGTGGAGCAGCTGGGCCCGTGTGCCACAACTACTGAGCCTGTGCTCTAGAGCCCGCTAGCCACAACTACTGAGCCCGTGCACCTGGAGCCTGTGCTCCGCAACAAGAGAAGCCACCGCAATGAGAAAGAAGCCTGCGCACCGCAACGAAGAGTAGCCTCTGCTCACCACAACTAGAGAAAGCCCACGCGCAGCAGCGGGGACCCAATGCAGCCAAAAATAAATTAATTAATTTAATTTAAAAATTCTCCATCTTTAAAAATAAATAAACAAAGCATCTGCACAATTAATGAGGGTTCACATACTACCAACTACCATCAAAAAAAGGTGGGCTCAGGCAGTGATTTTCTAAACGTGACATGAGGTTTATAGAGATTCTCAAGAGCTACTATCTCGTCTAAATGTGAATGCTGCTGTCTAGATAAGGTTCTAAGCCCAAAAAAGGCAAAAAATAAAAGAAATTGGGATCTTCATTTTTAAAGTGAGCTTAGTGCTGAAAAGTGTCAACTGCGACATTTGAGCATGAATAGGGCCACGCTGTCACAATGCTGCCCTGCCACCGACAACCTGAATAACAAGCACAACTAGATCTTAATGAAGGTTGACTGGCTCTGGCCCATGTGAAGGAAGCTGCTTCCAAACAAGGTAAAACTGATAAATTGGAAAGTCGAGAATCTGAGATATATACCTAGGGCATGTGAAAAAATGGTACATAACGGTTTTCTGTAGCTATACCTGGAGTGGAAAGTTGAAAAACCAACACTCTGAAACATTGATTTGGAAAATGTGAAAGTCCAGAAGAAATCCCAGGTAAAGAATAACATAAATTGAAATGGAATCTTTCCTACAAAATTAAGCTACCATAATTTGATTGTTGGTATTCTGATTTCCTCAAAGAACAATATTATAAATTTACAGCTTACTTTTAGGATTTTTATGTTCAAGACTTACATTTTCATCTCTGACCCTCAGAATAGCTAAGAGTTTCAACATTAAGCCAAAACAAAATTACTTGCTATCTCTCATTCAACTGCTCATAGATCTGCCCGAATGCTTTCTACCATGAGGATGAAAGGCATTTAACTGTTGTTTCTCAGGTCTAAGGTGTCTCTTGAAGACCTACATACAAATAGAGGCAAGATATACTCATCTTTTTGTTAGTGTTTCACCAGATTGATACACTGAAACACTTCTTTAAAAATGAGAAAACAGAATCACCCAACCAAAGCTAACAATGCAAAAACAGAGTATTCAGTGCTACAGAATCCTTCAAATGTTCATTTAGAAAATTGCATAAAGGGAAGAATTATGTAATTTTCAAATCAGTAACACTGCTTGTAACAGTAGTCTTCACATTTGTGTTTCAAGTATTTTAATGACATGGAAGTTTATATTTAGGTATAGATTGTATTTCATCATCAAGGTCACAAACTGTAAGTCTGAAGAAGCATTTGGGCTCTCTCCAACATTTTTTGAAGGAAAAAAATATCAGTGCCCAAGAGTAAATTCAGCCCTGGCCCAATGTCTTCTGTCTTTGCCTTGCTAGCAGCAAGGATAAGATGCCTTTTTAAACCTCTCTCCCACATCTCAACTATCCTAGACTCCTACAATATTTTTTTTGGCCAAATTCAGACTTCACGTGTAGAGGTAGTATAGTATGCTAGGAGTCAGACACCTAAATTCTAATTCTGGCTCTGCCATTAATTAGCAGCATGACGAAGGTAAATTACTCACTCTAAGTTCCTTGGTTCGAAAATGGAAGTAGCATCTGTACATACGTAAAACGCTGTCAGGAGGAAAAGAGCTAATATACACAAAGCATTTAGAGCACAGTAAGTATTGGGTTGGCCAAAAAGTTTGTTTGGGTTTTTCTGTAAGATGTTACGGAAAAACCCAAACGAACTTTTTGGCCAACCCAATACCTTACTCAGTAAGTGTTAGTTGGTGCTAAAATAATTTATTATTATTATTCCTACTAAATTTTATCTTGTCACTCTTAGCCCAACATTCCCTTATGCCAAGATCTTTTTCCATCCTGATTTAGTCGATGAAGTAGTTATACCGCTGTTTCTTCCCATCCATAAATTCAGTAATCTGCCACCGGACTTCCCTGGTGGCAGTGGTTAAGAATCGCCTGCCAGTGCAGGGGACATGGGTTTGATCCCTGGTCTGGGAAGATTCCACATGCCGCGGAGCAACTAAGCCCGTGCGCCACAACTACTGAGCCTGCGCTCTAGAGCCCACAAGCCACAACTACTGAAGCCCGCACACCTAGAGCCCGTGCTCTGCAACAAAGAGAAGCCACTGTAATGAGAAGCCCGCACACCGCAATGAAGAGTAGCCCCCACTCGCTGCAACTAGAGAAAGCCTGCAGGCAGCAACGAAGACTCAACACAGCCAAAAATAAATAAATTTATAACATAATCTGTGATTGTCGTAGAAGCCGCTTTCCCCCAAGCCTGCTAGCAAACCTGCAATGTAACATCAGCAACACCCCTTTGCAAAAGAAGAAGCACTAGCAACTGGATAAAGCCTCACATCGTTACTAGAAGGAAAGGTGGTAAAATATTTACATAAACATTTTTATTTTTCAGGAGAGAAATGAAGCCTTAGCGGTATCTTTCTGTGACAGCAACATTTTGGTCCTTTAATTTCTCAACTTATAAGCAAGAGTAAACTTATCTCCTAAATTCTAGAAGGAATTTAAGAAAAAACAATAAACACACATAAATATATTCTATGCTCTGAGGAAGAACAGTATTATTTAAATATATGGAATTCATATTATTTACCCAAAGAGACCATGTTCATGCTGAGCAGCATAAATACTGGCTTCCATTGGAATTCCTGCTTTCTAGGTGGGAAAATTCACATAATGATGCAAATCTGAATCCACAACATCTATACATTCAAAATAATCTTAAGAAAATTTCCAAGATTATATGATACTAAGGAAATTATCCAATAAATATAATCTTTCTCCCACATTCTACCTGCCTCATGCATTCATTCCCAAGATTCAGAAAAAATGTCTTTAACAAGATTTTTGACAAAACACTCCTATTAAGAACAAAAGCATCATTCTACCTTTTTACATTTTTTGCCATTAAACTCTCCCCAAACAAGGATGTGAAGAATCAATTTCTGCATCACTGGCTATACTCTTAAAAACATGGGGTTTTCTTATTTAGCTTACCGGAATCGGTGTTTACCAAAACACCCAGAGGGTCTGAATTTGCCTCGGGTGTACTTTCAGGCTTCGAACCACACAAGGGATTGCCTGACCCAGCACGACCATTTTTCCATTTGTGACGTTTGCCAGGACTTCTGATTTTTGCCATCTGTGAATGTCCGGCCATCCCCTTCATCTTGCTGGAGTAAGAAAAATGCAATTCTTAATATAAAAGGCACTGACCTTCCAAGAAAAATTTGAAAAAGATTACTGAATGCAAAAGAAATTTAGCTGTCAATCACCTGTCACCTAGTACATTAAAGAGACCAGAATAAAATAAATTCAATGGCTTCCAAAGTAGAACTTTAAAAGGATAACATACCACAATATACCATACTTTATCAATTCCAAGTTGCACATTTCCTCCCATAATGTAATCCCTCTGAAATTGGGCTATGTTGTACAATCAAGAGCATGTGAATTTAATTGGCAGCATTCTTTCATTCCTATTATACATTAAGATAAAATGCTCCTTAGACTTTACAAAGTGCATTAACTCTTATCTCCTTAATTGTAAGTAGCCTTAAAGTTTCTGACACTTTTACAAATATGCTACCTTGTTTCTTGTTTAAACTTCATGGTTCTTGTTTAAACTTCATGGTAACTCCTTAAAATAGATTAGACAGGTATTATTCTCTTCACATTACAGGAGGATAAACTTAAAGATCATAGACCAAGCACAATTTCACGGCTAGCTCAAATCAAGCGCCCTCTCAAACCATAGCAATTACTACTCTTAGGAGGAAAACAAATACTTATGTGAGCACCTACTTATGTAAACGATGCACAGGAAAACAAAGACCATTTTAAAAAAAAGGTTCATTACATATACTCTCAATGGACAATAAAACAAAGTAAGAAAATAATACCAAGGCACATAATGATCAAATTGCTCAAAGCTAGTGAAAAAGAGAAAATCTTAAAAGCAGTCAGAGATAAAAGGTATTTTATATAGAGGAACAAAATGACTGCAGATTTCTCTTGGAAACAATGCAAATAAGAAAACAATGGGGCAACATCTTTAAAATACTATAAAATTTTTAGAAAACTGTTAACCTAGAATTACTTATCTAGCAAAAATATCTTTCCAATAGGAAGGTAAAATAAAGATCTTTTCAGACACACAGAGCTGAAAGAAGTCATCTCCAGCAGACCCTCACTACGAGAAATGTTATAGTAAGTCTTTCAGGCAAAAGGAAAATGGTATCAGATGGAAAGATGGATCTACGCTAAAGAATGAGGAGTACCGGGCTTCCCTGGTGGCGCAGTGGTTGAGAGTCTGCCTGCCGATGCAGGGGACACGGGTTCGTGCCCCAGTCCGGGAAGATCCCACGTGCCGCAGAGCGGCTGGGCCTGTGAGCCATGGCCGCTGAGCCCGCACGTCCGGAGCCTGTGCTCCGCAACGGGAGAGGCCACAGCAGTGAGAGGCCCGCGTACCGCAAAAAAAAAAAAAAAAGAATGAGGAGTACCACAAATAGTAACTATATAGGCACCCCAACCATCAGCTAACAAACCACCAGCTGTGACTAAGGCTTGTCAAGATCACCAGATAAGCCCCAGCTGACCCCAGATATCTGAGCAGTTAAGACTATCATATGGAGAAAAAAAAAAAAAAAAAAAGACACCTATTAAGGGTAAAAAGACAAGCCACAAATTGCAAGACTATATATATCTGCACTACCTATACTCTACGCAAAAAAGGATTTGTATCTAAATAAATAACCGCTACTAATCAAAAAAAGCAACCCAATTAAAAGGTGGTCAATAGCACTTGTGTTTGTTTGATTTCTCGACAAAGACTTCTAGACAGGGGCAAAAATAAATCCTCTTTTGCAACCCAGAACTCACTGTTCAGTATGAGTTTTGATACAGGTAAGAAGGAACATGATACCTAAAAGAGAATCAAGTGATAGGGGTGTACTGATAAACATAAAGATTGCTTCCAGGACTATAGAGCTGATAATTTCCCTCATATCTTAAGCTTTTAAATTATCAGCTGTATTGATTTAGTACTCTAATTTTAATGTTGACGTGAAACAAAGATGGCTTCTTTTTTTAAGCTTGTATCTTGAACACAGTGTCTGGAGTTTAAAAAGGTATTGGCATATCCCAATGATCTGTACTGTTCTAGGGTGTGATGGCTTAGGAGTGAATACGATTTGAACCTAACACATTTTTAGAGGATGTCAAATTCAGAAACAAGCAGATCCATCTCCTGACCCTAAACATGGTCCTAAAGTAAATCGCTTGAGGAAATTGGATCCCAAAGATTACAGGTGTGGAATTTTGAAGTGTGTCCATACTCCCCTGGAGATCAAAGAAGCCCAACTAAAAGAATTGTGGGCTAACATAACAACTTCTTTTTGAAAGGGCTATTTTATCTTGAAGATTATGAGTTTGGAGGAACTAAGGCGATTGGCAGTGGAAAGAATCAGAACACGTGAAATTCCTTAAAAATTTATTGACAAATAATTTTGTCTATGTTACACATAATTTAAAAAAACGCTTTAAAAAAAATGGTCAAAGACTTGAACTGGCACTTCACAAGAGAACATCGACATGACGGATAAGCATATAAAAAGATGTCCAACATCGTTAGTCACGAGGGAAATGGTATAACATGAAGAAAACGTATAATAATACTATGCATTGACCAGGACACACAGCAATTAGATGCAGAGTCAGTAGGAGTATAAATTAGTACAAGTGTTTTGGAAAACTGTTTGACTACATCTATTATAACTAAATATCTAGTATGACCTAGTGTGTGTGTGTGTGTGTGTGTGTGTGTGTGTATATGGCCAATGTAAACAAGAAACAAGTACTTATGTCCACAAAAGACACTTAAAAGAATGTTCATAGTAGCTTTATTCATAATAGCCCAAATTGGAAACAACCCAAATGACCAAGAGTAGAATGAATATATATTCTCAAAACTAAGTTCTATATAGCAACAAGAATGGATTTACAGCTATACACAACAATATGGATGAATCTCACAAGATAATTTTGAGCCACAGAAACTATATGCTAAAGAAGACACATCAATACTATATAATTCCACTTATACAAGGTTCTAAGAACAGGTAAAATAAATTTATGATGATAGAAATCAGAAAAGAGGTTACCTTTGTGGGGAGGCATGGAACTAAGGAGGGCCTAAGAGAGAAACCTTTGTGAGGTAAGACGTTCTATGTATTATTAATGTGTGGAAGTTACATGGGTATGTGAACATATATAAATGCATTCAGTTGTACACTCAATACAAAACGAAATGGAAAAAATGCTATGAATGTGAGGCATTGGGGAAAATGGGATGTCTCATATACTGCTGGTGGGAGAGTAAACTACAACAGCTTCTATGACAGCTATTTGGCAGTCACCTATCAATATTATAAAAACACATGTCTTTTGACTCAGCAAAACCACTTCTAGGAATCCATGCTCAGAAATATCTGCACATGTGTGAAATATATGTACAGGGCAATAATGGCAACTTTTAATTAGTAAAAGATTGGTGAAAACTTAAATGTCTTGTCAATAGAGAATTTTTTTTTTTAAGAAAAAAAAAAGACCCTTTGGGATATTCTTATGCTTCTTACACACCCTCAGAGAACGAGGAGTCTTGTTTATATGTCAATATAGGACAATCTCCAAGTATATTATTTGGCTAAAAAAAGCAAGATGTACAATAGTATCAAAAAAGGAAGGGCTTCCCTGGTGGCGCAGTGGTTGAGAGTCCACCTGCCAATGCAGGGGACGTGGGTTCATGCCCCGGTCCGGGAGGATCCCACGTGCCGCGGAGCGGCTGGGCCCGTGAGCCATGGTTGCTGAGCCTGCGTGTCTGGAGCCTGTGCTCCGCAACGGGAGAGGCCACAGCAGTGAGAGGCCCGCGTACCGCAAAAAAAAAAAAAAAGGAAAAAAAAGACTATTATCTATGTGCTATATAAAGATGAAATATCTCTAGAAAGATAAAATGGGTTGCCTCTGGGAAGGAGAACTGTTTAGCTAGGATACAAAGACAGAAGAGACTTGTTACTGTACATCGTTTTGAAAACCACATAAATGTAGGGTACTACGTATTTTTAAATATAATTTTAAAATTTTTAAATAAAAAAGTTACAAAAGCAAATATTTCAGAATTGAAAGTATAGAGGTTTTAGGATTTGGGTGTATGCTTTTTTATTATTTATAAGTACATACATTCATTTAAAATAAGCATTGAGGGTGCAAGCAATTTTAAGGAACTTACCCATACTGTGTCGTTGTCAACACTGCTCCTCTCTTTTCCTTTTCAATTTTTAACTTTTTCTTCCTTTCGATATTAGCCAGAGTTGGGTAATTTCTAGAGAACAATAAAAGTCCATTATAAAAGGGCTTTTAGAGTAAATTTTAATTATGCAATCAAGCAATTGTTGCATTTAACAACTTTTGTTTAATGACTAATGCAGTAAATTGATATAAACTTTTAATTCCTTCTGGAATTTTTTTAAGGGTGAAAAAGTAGACTGTAACAATGCTACTCAAAGTGTATACCAGCTGCCAGTCCAAACTCTGCTACCAGTCTGTTACCAAGTAAGAAGCTTACAATAGAATTTAGATCAAATATATCATATAATGTGCTGAAACTCATATACAGAGTTCACTTATTTGGCACATACCCATAAATACTATAAACAAAAATGTATTTTCTTATGCATCTACTTATGCAAATACATACTAGGAGGTATATCCAAAGTTACCAAGATGAGGAAGAGACAGTTCTTAAAAAAAAAAGCTACAGTCTACCAGGAAGGTTAAGAAAAGCATGGTTATTTCTAAAGACTAGTTATAACAAAAGACAAAATATTAAGCATCCTAAGGAGTATAAGGGAGGTTGGGAAGGAAAGATCCTATCTAGATGGAGAAATCCACAAAGGAACATGAAAGACACTGGTCTTAAATGGTGTTAAGAGACAAAAATCTGATGGAAAAGCGTCAGCATGTGCCTTTTTTTTTTTGGCCGTGCCACATGGCCTGTGGGATCAACCAGGGATCGAACCCATGCCCCATGCAGTGGAAGCACAGAGTCTTAACCACTGGACTGCCAGGGACCTTTTTTTTCTCTTTTTTGGTCAGAGTGTTCTAAGCAAACAATGCAGACAAACCAAGGCCTCAGAGAAAGTGTGAGAGAATGGCAAGTGGTTCATTGTTAAAGAAACAGTTACAGGCAATCAGACCAGAAAGGGAGGCTGGGGCCAAAATGTGCCTCGAATGCCAGACGAGAAAGCTATTTTTAATTCAGTGGTGTTGGGGGGCCACTGAAAGTTATGAACAGGGAAAGATATGAACAAGGCAGTGAAAAAAATTAAATCTGACAGCAGCGTGCAAGATGAATTGCTCTGACAAAGCTTTCTTTGTTCCTTAGCACAGTTGTGTGGTGATGGAGGCACCAAACTTTGGTGGTGAGAGGAACAGATACTAGGAGCATAAAAAGCACGAAAGGAGGGGAACACAGACAGCCCTCTACCACTCAGCCTGGCTGCTCATTAGAGTAAATTTTGAGAAACATCAACACATCATGTTCTGCCATCATTTCGAGGACACTGTCTCTACCCCCTTCTTTTTTTAACATCTGCATCACTGACTGGGATAGCACAGACAATAGAAGCCCATGGGCTGGGCGCACTGGAAGATAAGAATAGAAATGACATTGAGTAAGTGGTGAAGTGATCAGAAAAGGAAAGGCAATGAATTTCAGTGAGGACAGTGCAAAGCAATCTATCCAGCCAAGAAAAATAAACTCCACAAGTAAAAGATGATTAATGTACAAGTTATAAATAAACATAAGAGGAAAAGATCAAGGTCACAGGAGATAAAAATCTGACAGGCAGTCAGCACCACATGAGTACAGTTTTGGAAAGCAAACATAATCTAAGGCGATATGAAATGGACTCTGGCACAGGTACAAGTGTGAAATCATCCTCTCATGACACTCAAAGGTGATCAGAAACTCTCAGGGCACTGCATCCAGCTTTGTACTTCTAAACTGAAAAGGAATGTTAAGGAAAAATAAAACTTGGAGGGGATTCAAAAGAGACTCAAAGATGATTAACAGGATGAAAAAATAAAACCTCTGAAGAAAGATGAAAGGAACTAGAACTACTTGCAGCCTTTAAAAGAGGGAGAGAAGTGACAAAAAATGATCTTACAGAGAAGATGGCAGCCAGCTGTTCTCAACCTGAAGACAAACTACACCGAAGCAGAAATGAGGAGGAAAAGGTGATGACTTTCACAGGCACCACAGTGTCTAGACGTGTAGCTCACAGCTAATCAACACTCTTCACACCTCTGAAATTCACTTATTCTTAAAAATGTTAAAGAAACACAAAATGTGTTTCTTTAACGTTTTTCTTCCGAGTGTTACAGAGCAACCCTTAACATGTTGGGTCATATGCTAAACATAAAGACTTGGTCCTACAGTGTTTCATGTATAAGCGAGGAGCTATGTAAATGCTTCTCAGTGGTAAGGAATACAAACAGTTTGTTATAGGAAGTGGATTTTAGGTGAGATATAATAAAGAATTCCTTGAATGAGACATCAAGAATGTTGTGGAAACTCCTTTGGTGGAAGTCTTTTAAAACAGCTCACTTCTTCTTTCTGGCTGACTAAAGTGTCACTTTCCTAAAGGTAGGGGATTTTTATATCCCTTCCAAAGTTATAAGATTCTATTTTTCAGTGCTTAAATGAATAAAATTTTCTTGCAAAAGTTATACCATTCTTATTTACATAGAACCTAGAGACTAAAAACTAGGGAAAACAAGGGTACCAGAGAGCAAATTATCCCCCCAAATGGGAAACCAGAAACACAAGACCTAGTTATACATACAACAGTAATCAGAAGTCCCTTCCAGCAACATACTAGGGAGATACAGGAATAAGGGAAAGTCTGGGTCTTTGATAAAGGACACAGCTCAGGTTTCTAAATTACACAAATCCAAAGAAAACTGTTGAGAAAAATCACAAATTGTGTTACACTGTACAATTACATACCAATAAAATTTAGTCCAATATCTCCTGGTAGAGAATGGATGTTATAAAGCTATAAAGACTGTGACAAGTGGTATTTTCACAGTTGGTTTCTCTATTTTTATCTGCTAAAATCACTTTTCTCCCTACTTCCATCTTTTCCCAACACCCCAAAAGGACGTGGCCCTGAAACCGTATGCTCTCTATCTTGCTCTCTTCTCCCTCTTTCATTTCTTACCCCCTCTTTGTCTTCCCCTTGCCTAAGCCTTTAAGCCTCCAGTGACAATCCTTAAGCCCCAGAGTCAATAAATTAGCAACATGGAACCAACCATTATCTTAGCACATCTCATTCTGGTTACCCTTCTCTTTCCTTATACTCAAATCACCACCCACTCCTTGGCTTTTCCCTTAAGCCTCTTCTGTAGAAAAACACAATCCCTCTTTATTCTCCCTGAATCACGGCTACTTCAACATTACTGCATTTTTATTTCAAAGTCTTTCCAAACTTCAAAAAGATGTAGCATTCTTTAGGAGCACAGCCCCTCTGCTGGAATTCTGAAAGAACTGGGGACACAGCTGTAAAGCGTCTCCTCAGAGCCACAGTAACTGCAGTATTAAAATAAATAACACAACTACTCCACCTAGTGGACTCCAAATCTGCCGTGAAGTATGTTTCAACATCTCTAAAATAAGAGGTTTGGGAAACGAACCTCTACCACTCATTTTTCCTAATGCCAAATCATACAGCATTTGTACCCGACAGGAATTAAGAAAAAATAACTACCGGTTTTTTTTGGCTAGGATTTCTTTTTTTGCAGGTTATTAGTGGAAAGCCTTAAAGTTTTTAATTAAACACAACTATGGATGTTTGTCAGAACTATGCATTAAAAAAGAATAAACTTCACCTTCAAATAAATTGGAGGGGGAGGGAAGGGGTGGCACGACCCCTCTCACAAGAAGTCCTGCAAAACGAACTGATTGCCCTGCCTTCCAAAGACGCCAGCTATCCCTTGACCAGACACTGTTATCCCCACACAGCAAAATTTAATGCTTCAGTTGCCTGTGCTCTCACGGCCACCTACGGATATTCTTCCCACATCTCCCATTAGAGTGAGGGTCTTAAAGGCAAGAGTCTACTCCTATCTCTTTTCAGTAACCTTGGCCATATATAAAACAATCTTTGCCTTTTCAAATACTGAATGTAAAGTTTACCTCTAATTTCAAGCTAAACTCTTGTCAGGAAGTTATTTAAAGCTATAATGTACATCAACATAAATTCAAAGGTGGCTGAGAGTTCTCGATTACATTACAAAACCAAACTAGTCTTCTACCAGGGACTTTATAGAAACACGTGCTACCTAAGCTAGTTTGCATCTTCAAATGTTAGTATTCCTTAAGTTTCTCTAGCCAGTGGAATTTTTTTCCTTTAAAGCACTTGTTGCACAAAACCACAAGGTGGCAGAGTTCACGTTCAAATGGGGAAAGCTACTGTAGAAAGTAATGCATTCACATACAGATCAATTTGGTTTGTCTTGGTGATGATCTGTCCTACGTGGTGAGAATTTATTGTTCAAAACCACAGCAGTTTAAGTACCATTAGTTATATTACTGAATTCCAACTACAGTTATTAATCTGATCAACACTGCCCAATTTCTTTAACAATGACAAAAGTATAGTTTAAAACATAAATTAAAAATATGAATCTCAGCAAGATTTCTCCAGCCACTTACTTGTATATACCAAAATAGAATAACACCCATAATAAAAATATTTTCAAGCCCCATTTACATATATCAACATTTATAAACATCCCTTCTACCTATGGCACCGTGGGATATAAACATTCACACAAACCATGGTTCTTACATTTCTAAAGCTTGTAATTTATTTTTTTAAAAAAGACACATAAGCAAAAAAGTTCATCAATAGTACCATAATGAGGGGCACATACACTAAGGAGGTAGAGGGGATACCACATTCAAAGAGGAACAAGATACCCCTCTAGGCAGATAAGGAAAAATACTCCCAAAATTTTCGTCTGGCAGGATTTCAGCTGGACTAAAAGCAGTGAGCAGAACTTCAAGGATAGAGAAGGGAGGATTTTCTGGAAGCAGCATGATGAAAACAGAGGTTAAAAGTTCAAAAAACTTGTTTGGGATATGAAAAAGAAAAAAACCAAGTCTGGCTGGGACAAAGAACTCCTATAAGTAACGTGGGATTAATCAGGAAAGGTATGTTAAGCCCACATTACAGTACCCTGACTGTCAGTTCTAAGGTGTTGTTTTCACTGGCATTTTACCTGGCTAAAATAAAATCAGTTTAACAAATTTATTTT